CACCCCCCCGCCCCAAAATGAATGCATGAGGAAATAAGAGAACTGATTTGGATTTTTGCTACCAAAGATGTCAGATGTTTGTAATACCAGGAGTAGGGAAAACAACCTAAGGAACTGTTGCATCTATAGTGTATACAGTTAGGACTCAGTCATTAGTTATTAAGCTTGCCGTGCCGCCGTCACTGTCTCTATACACAGAGGAACCTTTCAGGTGCTGTTTGTTATTTTGCATTCTTCTTCATGTTAATAACATTAGTCGTGCTCCTCCTTGACGACAGGCTTCCTTGCTCGCTCGCTAGCTCACTTGTTGCCTGCTAATCGTCTAAGGCGGAGAGCTTTCTGTTCGCGTTCTCACTGACATAATGAGGGTGACATCATCACTTCGATCCATTCTGCTGTCCTCCAATGTTTTGGGACCCCCTGCTGCACAAGGTTGTAGGTTACTTACCGCTCAACTTTGTTTTTCTTTGGCACGAATGTTATTTCTGTCTGTCAGGTAGACGTCCATCTTTTTAGGTCAGCGATTCAAGTCTAAAAGGTATGCTTGACGGCTGGTTTGGCTTCAGTGGTGCCCCCTACAGGGGATCTGCCACACGACACCTCGCGGAGTGAATGAATCGAAAGTGCTGCTATGTACGGCTCCCTCTCTCCTTCACTCTCTCTATGCCCTGCTGAGCGTGGCTAATAGGAAACGTTTTACCCATTCATGTGACACTAGCCCCGCTGCCCCGATTACCGGCCGTGCGAGAGCCATCAGCAGCCAGGGTCTGTCGCGTTGCCCGCGGGACCATCTGGATATTCCGGGGGAAAAAGTGCACGTGGTTTGAGGCAGGGTCTGGTCATGAGCACAGTTCATTTTACAGGGAGGCTGCTGGAGTACTTTGTGGATGGGGGGCAAAAGTAAACTAGCAACAGAACAATGAAGGAGGGTCAGGTGACCTTCATTATTCATTCTGATTGGCTGTGGATGTTACTTAGTGATGGTCCACACATGTATCAGTGTTTCTTTTATATTAACAGCAAAGAGTAACCAGAACCATAGCTACTTTGTAGTGGGCCTTACCAGCCATCCTGCAAAGCCCGTGTGTGTGTCTTTTATATTTTATTAAGAATGCTCATTGTTCCCTTGTTCTTCTCCTCGCCCATTTCCGCTTGTGAAAAGGGTTCCGGACCATTCCAAACTTCTCGTCTCATTAGGTCCCGTTTCAGGGCTGCTCCCTTTCCCCACAAGCATGCTGGCTCTGACTTGCGACTCGGAGCACCATCGGAATATCGAGTGAGGGTTTAGGGTACAAACAACGGGGGGCTTTGAGGTTCTCAAAAGCTTGAGGGACGAGACCCTGTCTGCCCCAAGGGGATATTCCAGAAAACAGAGCTTTGTAGGAGAAGTGAGGATGAAATGGTGCCAAGAGGACATTAGTACTACCAGAGGAATACACTGTTAAATGCCTTTATGAAGATATAGTAAACCTGGTGTATTTTAATGCTGTCATCACACCTCTGGTGGAGCCTGATAAGGCAGTTCAGGGTTTAATAAAAAAAAAAAATTACTGTCCCAAATGCAGACGAATGATCACATCCCTGAAGCAGGTGCCGAGATGCCTGGCAGCAGATACACATTCCTGCACATTACCATATGGTACCGCACGTTACCGTATACGGGATATAGCTCACGGCATGTGGGCACTGTCCTCCACTGAGATCACATTTACACTCTCACACGTTTAATACGCACAAGAAAGGATCCACCTTGTTCATCTTTTTTTAATTAACACTGGATCTTTCCTATCACAGCAGAGACTGCTGATCCAAATTACTCCAACGGGTAATTCTTTCTTGCTGCAACTGAAAATATGAAAAAAATCATTATGAATGGAATAGTACTCTATTTATATACACTGAGGCAAATGTTCTTGCAAAAACAAAACATTTTGTTCAATTAGTAAGCCAAATATGTAGACAACTTTAAATAAATCTTCAGTATCCACAGCTTTGGAGATGCTGAGGCACAGTGAAAACCAAAGCCGTCCATGATGTAAAAATCTGCCTTCACACTATGGAACACCCAGCTGGACACGCGGAGTGTACGATGTTCTCTCCCTACAGGAAATTAAGCCCTGTTTGAACCCTGTGTCAGCTAGAGCCGTGGAGGGAAAAACTCCAGGGTCAGGGATCAACAGAGAAAATTTCACTGTTGACATTTTGCTTCTTGGCACAATATTGACTTGTGAAAGAAGGAATGGGAAATGGCAGGAGCACTGTACGTCGATTAACGCAGGGCAGTGGGCAAGGATTACAGCACACGGAGCTTCTAAATTAATTACGGATTTTTATTTGTTTTTATAGATAGAGAATAAAATCAAGAATGACCTGCGACTATAATATGACATCTAATGTGCGTTATACTGTCAGCTTAGCTTGTTCACAAGTATCTCACATACATTATCCACTATACATTGGAAATTATACTATCACATCAAAGGCGAGATGCTGAATTCAAGGGTATATCCTTTTATTAGAATTGAACTAGCAACTGTTATATTTCAAGGAACCTTAACCAATACCCCACCTGCTGTTCCGATGGATTGTTTAATTTTGAAGTCACGAGATAGGTAATTGTTTTAATCTAAAAAATACAAGTGATTAGACAACACTGCATTCCTCTTTTCTTCTGTCTCACAGATGAGATGTTAGACACTTCCTGACAGAGAGCCTTTTCCTATTCGTCCTCTATAAGAACTTCAGATTTAAACTCTGTGACACTTTTTCCGATTAAACACATCAGATGGTCTGTCACAGGCCAGAACGAACCCCAGAAGCGGAGTGCAATGGTCTCTGAATGCCTTCGTTTGCGATTTTACACATTCCATCAGCCATATGCCGGGCAGGACGCGTTTGGGGGCCTTTTTTTCCGGAAACACGGACTCGCGGGGGGGCTACTTCACAGCTCGTGGCTTCACTGAGATCTGTGCCGCAGATGGCTTTATGACGCGTGGTCTGACAGACTACGAACGATACCACTGCACTGTTTTTCTAAATTTTTCTCCTCAGATAGCGGGGCAGGATTTTAATGGTGTACAATGCATTCTGGGCTTTACTATGAATACAGCCAGAACTAACAGGGGAGGATTCGTTTGCTGCTGTCGCTGGTTTCTATTGGCCTTGGTAGATGTTAAATGTCAGGCTGGAAAAGCTTGTATCGACACAATGGTGTGTCAGGTGAGTGTGGTGAGGGATGCATCTCTGTCAGGGGCCTTTATTTTGAAACGTCAGCCCCGAGCCAATCGCTTTTCATCTGTTATCTTTCTCTGTCTATTTGCTGTCGTTTGCTGACCTGCTTTCATTTAGCTGGCTGAGAGCTCAGCTCCTGCTCCGCATTCCACGCAGTTTTAAATTGCGCTACAAGCCAGGAAACGTGTAAATGTATAGAATGGCTGCCTGGACATGGATAAGGGGGACCAAAATGATGGCTTTAATAATAATATATTAAACATATGGAAATTAATCTTGACACACAATGCTACAGGTCTGAGGCATTTCATGTTGGCTTGGGCAGATTCGACTCCACGATCGAGTCCAAACTCCTCCAGCAGGTTGCTCATCCCTAAGATGAGAACGGTGTCTCAAGGCGTTTTGCCGCATTGGAGTGTGCAAGCCACCACAGGGCCTGACCTGCCTGCTCTTCTGTTTTTTGCAGTCTGTATTTCTGCATGCTGGCCCAACACTGCAGCCTGTAGAACGATGATCATTGAAATAACATCCAAATGCACTCAGAAAGGCAGTTTACATAGTTACAGTTGGCTTAGCTTAGCTGACATATTCATTAATAAGGGGACAGGTTAGGACACTGTGTCTATGATCAGATGGTCACTGGTTTAAATCCCTAATTCAGCAGACTGATTTCTCCATTGGCCCCTTGAGCCCCTTAACCCCAAGTGATTGAGGGACTGTCTGACCTGACTTTCTCAAAAGAAAAAATGTTTTGGATAAAGTCATCTGCTAAAAATGTAAATCAAAAGAAATGACCATTTGTTAGGTGTTTGTACAGCTAAAAATTTTGCTATGAGTACATGTGCATGTCACGGCTAAAGACCACATGAGACTGGGCCTAAATCTGAGGATATATGACATATGAATTACTACAGTTGGTTGGTAACCGATACCACAAGCCCTTAACATACAAGCACGCTACAGAAAACGGAATTACAGAGCTGCTCTGTCAGTCCTGTGAATCGTTATCTGTGTCTATCTGCAATATGTGTTATCTGCCGCTAAGTCGGCCAGCTGCGGGGTCCCTCTTGTCCTGGTTAATCTCTGATTGGCTGGGGCGGCTTTGTAGGGTAAGCTGATAATTACAGCACGAAATAACATACACGGGGTCAAGATGGTGGCAGGACCAGCATTGTGCAGCAAGGTAACAGCTGCTTGGCAGGACAACAGCCTGCGTTAGAGATGGAGGACAAACTCTTTAACGGGCCAACGGAGTGGACGCGGCAAAACAGGAAGCACAGATGGCGTCTTTAAAGACATCAGGGCAAGAAAACCACGTAACTAACCTCTGCCTCTTTTAGCAAGGGCGTTTACAACAGACAGCTTGGAGACGAGGCCTGTTACCACTCCGGGTGTGGCGTCTGATCCAATTAAAACAGAAATTAGCTGGGCAGCCTCAGGACAAACAGAAGGAGCGTCCAGAAAGGAGATCCCCAGGTCATGGCTTCATTTAATCTTTTTTTGTGACCATTTTCTATCAGAAAACAGTGATTTGCACATGCATCAGGCAGAAATCTGCAGCCAGTGCACGGCGTGTGTGTCTGTGTGTGGTTCCTCAATCCTGAGTAAATTTATTTTTGGATAAACCAGCTTCGTTTGTGTTAGCCTGGATACGCCTGCTAACTCCCGAGCGTTTGATTCCGCTCGGCTCCGGAGCGTTCCGGATTTTCTCTCGATTGGCGAGAATGACGATCAGGAGAGAGGAATGAATAGCCGGCTGTGTCTTGCAGGCCTTTGCAGACGCGATATTCCACCTGGTGACGGAGAAATACCGCGAGCTGGCGGGCGGCTGCTCCCCAACGCACGCACGCCACAAGGCCCTGGCGGGGATCATAATGACCAGAGGTATGCCACATTTTATTGGCTTTCATATTGCTGTGAATTATTCAACACACCCAATATAGAGCGGGCCTGTGCAGCTGCATACACCTACAGTGTGGGATGGACATTAAAAAATTCAGGACAGACTTCTTATGAAAAGGTGCAGGAAGGGAGGCGGTCATGACAGTCCACAGAATGTCTTTTTACCCTGTAACGTTGTTTACCTCAATATTTCTACTTAAATATCTACAAAGCCCAGATTTGTACACTGTTTAGCGTGACTAAATGTTTATTTTGAATACTTGACTTTATATTGCTAGCTTCACAAGGTCTTAGTTTCAAAGAGATGCCCTTGAGTCTATAGCGTGTTCTTGTTGTCGGCAGTATTATCCTGGTTTTGGAAGGCGTTCTTTGGGTTTTGGGCCCGTCCCGCTTCAGTATCGCCACTCTCCTTTGAGAGTGTGGTTTGTCAATTTGGACTTCAATGAAGTCGCGCTTGTCTTGACCTAATCCAATTTCTATCTTCTCCCTGCCTCCGAAAATTGGCCTGTTTGTTTATTAATAAGCGTGTTATCTTCAAAGATCCAGATACAGGCAGCCAAAGTATTTGTAGTGAGCCAGCGGACAGAAACTCAACAGAAACACTAGGGGCTCTGTTTCCATTTCTGAAGATCTGTTGGTCGCTTAGTCTTCCCTGTGCATGGGTTGAATATTAACGCGGCCAACTCGGAACCACCAAACTCGCTCAATCAAAGGCTGCAGAGTGATTTTTTAACCCAGCAGAGACTGCTTGATGCCAGGTTCCTTATTCAGTCACTTCATAAAATCAACACGAGCGCATAAAATAAGCACAATAAGCACACAGACGCAGAGTCATAACAGAAAAAAAGGCGTAAATAACCTAATTTAAACCTAGACAGTCACTGCCTGAAGATACAAGCCTATTCAATACATCAGATATAAAAAATACAATTGAAGCGATTCAAAACAAACCAAATCAAATAGGGGAAAAAAGTTTTTTATTTTTTCATAGTTTTTATTAAGGATGGAGAACTCGTTTTTATTTTCAGAGTGACTGTCGACGGCTTCTGCATTTGCAGTAAAAATTTGTGCTTAAAGAAAATGGTTTGTGGGTGAACTACCAGAAAATAGCGAACAGTAACTTTTAAAAATGTTTTTATAACCATACTTTTATACACTAGTGTAGGGTTCTTCAAATCTGGACCTTGATTCCAAATCCAGGCCTTGTTTTCAGTTCTTCCAGGTAGTTAGTTTCATAATGACTGATTCTGATTGGTCAGAGGCTTCACACCTGGCTCACAGGTGAAGGAAGGCTGGAAAACCAGCAGGGCTCGGACCTCGAGGACTGGGATTTGAATAACCCTGCACTAGGGTATGTTTTACATTTTGAATGTGTTAATATAGGTGTTTTCATAGAAACCATATTTATTATGATAACCTAACATAAAACATTCCTGGTTCAAAAAGCCAAAAGCCCTTCAAAGTTCATGTTTTGCGGCCCGGGCGTAATGGTACATCCCACATTTCGGCTCCATTTAATTGTAAAATCTTTTGTGGATGAAGAACAACATGAATGGATTTACGAGGCTTCCTCTGCTTAATGGAATGTAAATGAGTTCACCAACATTGACCTTGACAGTTCATTTTATTCTTAGGCTAAAACCATTTTAATGCTAATTTACAATTTTGGAGAATAATGGCTTATTGCCAAAGCATATTTTCTTTCCATTTTTGCAATATTTAAAGAAGAAAACACTTCACGGCTGAAAAAAAAGCCTGAGTTGAAAAGTTTTGCTATTCTGCTTGGATTAGTAATGATCATGGCCGAAGAAAGTATTGGTGAAATGGTTTTATGGTATTTTTCCATCATTTAATTCCTCTGTCTGAGGGGAGAATAGTGTCTCTCCGTAATGATTGCTTATGAGATGATTGCCTCATAAAGTAATTGATGAACTGCGTTTTTAAAACAAAACTCATTTGGAAAATGCCTGTTTAATGGAACTTATTAACCTCACTTTAGGAGGAAGGACTTTCTGCAGCTAAACTGCGCATACTACTGTAAACACGATAAATTATCAGCGTTCGGTTTAATGTAGCATGATTGTGGGAGACGCCCCCACCCCCGACTGACTGCCTCCCCCGAGCTGGATACCATCTCGGGGCCTCTGTGTCAGGGCTGCATCACAGAAGACCCCTGAGAGACTCGCATGTTGTTATTTCTGGGGCCCCATTCAAGAAGACACTTTGGCGCCCCCTGCCCCCCTACAGATGCTTTTAAAAATGAAAAAAAAATGGCTGGCGAGTAGAGTCAGAACATCGTAGCCAACTAACTGGTTATGATCAGCATCTCCTAAATGAGGAACATGTTCATTTAATATTTATTGTGGTGAATGTGACCAAAATCTCCGGGGCCCCATGCAAACGGGTGATGTGAGTGGGGGGGTGAAGACCACCCAGCCACTGGCCATTCCAAGATGGAGTCTTTCTTATGTTTGTCTCATGCTGTCGGTTTCAGACTTGCAGAAGTTAGCTGTCTTGCATTTTTCTTGCATAAAATGGCTTTCAGGTGAGCACTAACTTTACTTTGAACTCTGTGGCTTGCTTCTGGTTTTTTTTTTTTTTTTTTTTTTTGGGCAAAGCTGTGTTTCCACGGTAGCCGAGACTCATCAGAGTGACGCAGAGTAAAAGCTCTGATTGTCAGTGTGTATTACTGCGGCTCTGATAGGCGTGCCGGCTGGGTCTCTCCCTGGGACTGAACCGATCTCTCTCCAGTTCTGTGGTGAGCGCCGGTGTTAATAGTGAATGGAATCCGCTGGCCGCTTCTCTCTCATGGCAGAGGGACCTTCACGGTGATCTCCTGTGGTGATAAGAGACGCCATCTTTTTGTTTTTTGTATGCAAAATTGATCTAAACAATGGCTAAGTGGACCAGTAGGGGGAGGGAGACAGCAGAGGCGTGAAAAGGAGTGTGGTTCCGAGTTCCGCATGGCGCGGTGAGAGCAAACCGCTGCTCGGAGGTAATACTGCAAATAAATCCCATTGTTTGGACAGGCAGCGGTGTCTGAAATGCGAGGGGATGCGGTGAGATTTTCATTAGCTCTACGGACTCAGTAAGCCTGTGAGTCAACGTGCAGCTCGCAGGGAACCACTTTCGAGATTCACCACCAGCCACAGGTCCTCGGGTCGAATTGGACCAAGATGACATTGTGGGCACATCCAGCCTCCTCAAGGGGGTAAATTGTTCTGTCGATTCTTCGCCATTAGGGGGAACCACTGGCATATTCCTGCCACCTTGATGTTTGGGGTCATAGGTTTGATGCACCAGGATCTCCATTTTGTTAAGGTTGACAGGCCTGGTAAGTTTAGAGCCATGCACCCAATACTGGTTTGTGGGCACCTGAACTGGGCCTCAGACACAGAGCTCTCCTGAGGATGAACACTAGAATCCCCTCCCTCACTCCCTCGACGAATGCAGTTCACTTTCAGTAATGAGGTCAAAACAGAAAGTTTAATTGGGTGGAAGTGGGAGGGGGTGGGGTTTAACCCACCTGTCTCACTCAGTCTTCTAGCTTGGGTACAGGGTTTATTAAGGGGTACTCTGAATTATGAAATGCTGTGGTTTCTAGGAAATAATCCACACTTTCTTCCCCTCCTGTCTTGCGGCGCCCCCTACTGTATGATGAGAGCATGTGAAACATGATATGTGTCAGGTATCAGATAGATATGTCAGGTATCAGATAGATAGATAGATAGATAGATAGATAGATAGATACTTTATTAATCCCTGGAAAAAAAAATGGGCATGACAGCAGAAAATAAAAAAAGACAAAGCAACAAAAAATAATCAGTGGTATACTAAAACAAATTAGAAAATAAAAATTAAGAAAGAAGAAAAATTAAGAAAGAAACTTAAAAAAATAGAAAGTCTTTGTACAAGAAAAAAAGGCATGCAAAAAAGCTGTATTGTACAGTACTGTACAGTAATGAGTAACCACAAAGGCAAAATGGATATGTACAGACCATAACAGTGCAAAATATGCCGTACACTGCAGGTACATTGGCATGTGATCGCAGGTATGAATGGCGATGCTTGGGTAGCTTTGATCTGCACACCAAGCAGCTCCTCCGGGATTTTGCACAAAACCATCCTGTTTAAAAAGATCACTTAAAAAAACTTCTTATATGATAATTACATTTACACAAAACCCATAACGTGGTATGTGTTTGTCTGCAATTTTTTTTTTGTGAAATATGAAGAGATTCACTGAACTCATTCAATGTATACTTGATAATCAACACAATTACCATAATAAAGAGACACAATTATTGACAGGCTAATTATTTGGCGTGTTTCCTTGTGTGATTTTCCACTTTCATTATGAATGATTTATCATCCGGAGAACACTTCAGGCGGCCAGCGTTTGGGATTCAGACGTGAGATGCTGTAATTATAGCATCCAGCTCTCGTTCAGTGGGGTGGATACAGAGCGCCGTGCATTATCTCAGTATCGTTAAAGCAATCAAACCATGAACTGAATTACGCTCTTTCTGCAGAAATGGTGACACGATAAAATGTACCACCCACACTGTGCATTATGAAAATAGATGTGCTCGTGCGTTTGCCTCTAAGATTATGTGAATGTGTAAGATGAATTGTGTCTGAGTACTTTTACAGCCTCCATACCTGCACCACATTCTCGGACACGTGGCCCTAGTCAAAATGAATGTCTTTCAGACATGCAAAGCGTTCCCTTTCACCGGGAGCGCTGGCAGTCAAAAGCTAATTAAGGGCTTCAAAGCACGGCCAGGCTCTGAGTCTCTGTCTTTTATCCTGGCAAACTTGGGGGTGTTTTTTAGAAGTCTAAAAGGAGCAGATAAGAATCACATTTCGACCGTAAGCCTTAGGAGAGGCCTGTCAGATGGGCACGTATTTGCTGAGTCATTATCAGTAGTCCATGGAAATGGGGGAGAACATTATGGCAAGTTAGCTAATATACCAACACTGTGCACTTCGCATGTTTCTATCAGAAATACAACTTGAACCTGAACTTAAGATAGTTAAGGTGTCCAGTGAGTGTAATAATAAGAAGAATGAAAATGCAGTGGTGTGAAGCTCAGCAGATTAGGATGCTGTGATTGGGTGGTTGCCGGTTATAAAGCCCGTGGTTGACAGAGTGATTTCACCTTTGGGCCCTTGAGGGATGCTTTGTGGGATGTGGATCAAGGCCCTCACAGGAAGTCCGTTAGCTGCTTCACGGGATGTTAGCCAAGGCCTTCACAGGAAGTGTGCTAGCTGCTTTGTACAATGCTAGCCGAGGCCTTCTCAGGAGGTTCGCTAGCTGTTTTGTGGGACGTTAGTCGAGGCCCTCACATGAATTCTGATAGGTGCTTTTTTGGGCTTCACAGGAAGTCCTCTAGCTACTTGGCACAAATTAGTAGCTAGTTTAAAGCAACAGCGAGTGACAGGTATATGTATTGAAATTTCGGTGGACGGTTCCGATGGACATGATGAATGTCCATCGGAACACCATGAATGAAGCATTCTTCCAGAGGTGGATGTCCGTCAACTATTGATTTATTTCTTGTAGATTCTCTTTGTTTACTGATTGAATGTTTTTCCTGGCATCCATTCACATAGCAACAGACTTTTTGATGATGCTTTAAAGGCAGCGTGATAGATTTCTAAGGCTAGCCCTTTAACCCTGCCTCGATATTTTCATCATTCTTATAGCCAACCCCACGTTGTAAAGGTGGTCCAGCCATGTGTGCGGTACCATCTGGTGCTCTGAAGATAAAAGTTCATATGTTACCCGCCGCCTGCAGGTCTGGCAGAGAGCACTGAAGCCTGAATTTCCAGAAAGATGGAGAGATTCTGTTGCTTTGAAGAGAAAGTGCCGTTAAGCACACTGAGGGAAGCTGCCACATAGCCGGGTTTCATTCAGGCAAAAACAAAACAAAACAAAGCAGAATCTACTGAATGTCTCCCAACAATCAGATGAATCAGTTCTGTTGCAGGCTTGTTCAGCATTCTGCTTCTTCTTCATCCTGCTTGCTCGTGGTTTTGTCACTTCACTCGCAAAAAGCCCACAGCCCGCCTCCATCCCCTGCTTCAGCATCACAAGTTAATTCATTAAAACCAGCACCTCTGATGGCGGCACTTAAGATGCAAAACGCCTTTGTTTACTGTAGACAATTTTACCGCATTAATTCACACCAAACCTCCAGCTCCAGGAGCTCCATCAATCATCCCCATTATGACACGCAGCGGTAACACTGATGCTCGGGGAATGTGTACCGTTCTGCACATGAGGATGCAGCGCGCCGCGCAAAGCACTGTGTGAATTTTACAGCCAGTCGCTAATTCAATTTTGTAGATATGGCGATAAACTGGTAATTGACATGGAAATGTATCCAATAGTCCTAATATTGACATATTCAATATATAAAATGGTGACAGGAATCGTGCCATTTTTATCATGAATCTGCCTTAAAAGATGAATCTATAGCCATCACATTACTTCACTCCAGTACGGAATACTACTGCTAATCACTGTCGCTAGCTAACTTATGACTGTTTGCTATTTTTACACTAAATACAGTCTGTAACATAGTACATTACACTTGTCACCATAGCTAAAAATGATGCTGCCACCTGGTCTTTCTCATTATTTTTTATAAGATCTGTTTACTATATCCTGCTTTATATTTGTCAGTTTTTTCCCTTTATTTCACACGTTTACCTTCCTTCTGTGATATATGCATATTTTGGGGGGGCAGCATTGTGGCACAGGGATTAGCACTGTTGCCTCACAGCTCTAGGACCAGGATTCTCTGTCATGGCTGTCATTTTCTCACTGTGTCATCATGGGGTTTCCTCTGGGTACTCCAGTGTCCCCCCCCCAACAGTCCAAAAACATGCTGAGGTTCAATCTCAGGTTAAATGTAGTTACTAATTACCTGTAGGTATTCTATTGGTATAAAAAAAAAAAAGCCATGGTGAGTGAATCCTGGGTTGGAAAGGCTCCAGACCCCCCATGACCCTGAATAGGATATGCGGTTACAGAAGATGGATAGATATGATTGTGATTGTGAGTATGACCCACCCCCTCGTCAGCCTACTGAGTGGTATGGACTCACCTGCTCTTCCTGTGCCCTATATCGCCCCCACCCCCCAGGTCTGGATCTCAGGCAAGCCCAGGTCATTGCCATATCGACCGGCACCAAATGCCTGAGCGGCGAGTACATCAGCGAGCAGGGCCTGGCGGTGCATGACTGCCACGCTGAGGTCATCGCCCGGAGGGCCTTCCTGCGCTTCCTCTACGCTCAGCTGGAGCTCTTCCTCAGGTGAGATGCGTGTTACTGCTGCCAGTGAAGTCATATATCGTCAAAGCAGTGGCCAAACAACTAATCATATAAATTATATAAAAGTCTGAAAAAGAGTATATTTCAACCGTGTCACTGTGATATTTAAACGATGTAGTTTATATTAATACTGAAACTACCTCAAAGCTCATCATAATATCTTTGACGTGTGAGTCGTACAGTTGTCTTTTACTCTGAACTTTTTATGTGCGATGATTGTAGCAATAATTTGCACCATGGTAACAGTTAATGTTTATAAATCAAATATATTCTCATAATTAAGCCCCTGCCCACCAAGCATAATCGCTCCAAAGCCCACTTACTGTATCTTTAGTGAAGGATAAGTGTTGGTATGTAATGTTACATGGGATTTCACATTTTTTTTTCTATTATTATTCTCAGGAGCAAAGGTTTGGATTGTGTATTTTAAACTTTCTCAAAACCTGCCGGGTCATTTTATCTGCCGTTTAGCCGCACCGAGATCCCTAATCGGACATTACACCTCCTCGAGGAGCCTTAATGCGGGAGACGAGGCTTTGCGCCCGCGTGCAGATTGCTATGCTAAGCGGCGGCTCTCCTGCCCCACCAGTGGAATGGGAGATCTCCTTAATGTCAGATTTGCATACTGGAGATGACCTTCGTCATCTCGCAACACGCGATTAAATGAATAAACCGTGCCTCTCGAGGGGGTGATACCGGCCGTATACACTGAAGGGTCCGCGGGGGGCCGGATGACGCTCCCTGGGTGATGGGACAGTGCCTACTGCTGGAGTGTGAGGTTCAGAATCGTGCCCTGGGGCGTTTTTGAAGCCTGCATAGTGGTGAAGGAGCCCACCTCCTTTTGCAGAGTGTTCATAACCACGTTTTTGACATTGAAATTCATTCTCCAATGAATGGCAAGATGCAATACTGTAGCCCAGATCCATAAATAAATGTTGTCGGGGTGGGGGGGGGGGGGGGGGCTTAAAGCAAACTTCAAGGGGGCTTATGGGCTATGTGCCTGATTGGCATAAAAAAAAGTCAAACCTATTATTTTGCTATGTGGCTATGTGCCTACTGTATTCGCAGCTATCAAGTCCCCAACATTACTGTTCAATTAACTCCATCTTAGGGTGCCACGAATTTTGAGCCCGTTTGTCATGTTACAGAATGTGGCTGAGCCCAGTGCATTCTGGGAATGACAGAACTCAGAACACAGAAGTCAGACGCCATGTACCTTAATGACAGGGCTCTATAGCTCAGCATCAGGGGGCGGTCACAGTCTTCTTCTGCGCCATCATCCATCAGCTGAGCAGAGGCTGCATGGTTCAGTGTGAGTGCTGTAGATTTCCCCTCCCACTGGCCACACCAGAGAGCAAGTTCAAGCACTACTACACCCCCCAAACCCAAACACCTTTGACACGTTTCCCAGGTTTATAAACCATACAACAGATTTTAGGGAGCACAAATATATGTCCCATGTGATGCAGAAATACTACACACCAACAGGGGGCACACTCGCTGCTCAATGGCCAGCATGCTGACACAGCCTCAGATCCAGCCTCGATTGTCCCGTGCTTTTTTTAAAAATGATTCTCCCTCCCCTTCTCCTTCTCGCCGACGTCTGTCGGAAGCAAAAACAGGGCGGACTGGGAGCAGTCGATCTTCATCCGGCACAAGGAGGCGAGCTTCAGGCTGAGGGAGAACATCCTGTTCCACATGTACATCAGCACATCTCCTTGTGGGGACGCCCGGCTCAACTCTCCCTATGAAATCTCCACCGATCGTAAGGCTGCCTCCTCTCCAGGGTCACATGACCCAGATCCACCTGCACCGTGGCTTTGACGGGATCGATCCCACTAACTGGCGTTATACATACCGTGAACCTGTGTTGCTGTTTTAGGCCTGAGTGCCAAATATCTTCCCTTTCTGCATGACACGTCTGTCACATCTGGAGTCTTCCAGGTCTGGGGGTCGCACTGGAGCCAAAATGGGGTCCAGTCTGTTGAAACATGGCTAACATGGTCCTGTGATATTATTATGATATTTGTAGGGTACAGTGTGCAGAGTAATCACTGCATTTTTAAAAAGCACACCTTCCTGGGAAGAGCTGAACTTCTCTTGCTTGGTCATTAAATCCCTTAAAAACGTTCATCAGTCAGCCTTTGCAGATTAGGAAATGAGTTCTGCAGCAGGGTTCCGTAATACCTTTTCTTTCTGCTCCTCGACCCTTCAGAGGAGAACTCAGGGCTTAACTGGGCCCTTTTTTCAGTAGGAGTGTGACAGGGGGAGGGAATAATCCTCCTTTACACTTACTCATGAAATTTCCCACATTGCTGTTTTTTCATAGTGAAGTCAGATGGTGAGGCATCATAGCAACAGCAGTAATGTTATCTGCTGCCGATTCAATGCACATACTCATAACACTGTATGATTATCGTAGTATACCATACTCCATAGTATATGTATTTGGACTTTTCTCTGCTCTGACTGGCTGCCACAGTATGCTATACTCAGTCACCAGTTAGTCCTCTGCTTTAATTAAGGTTTTGTTAATTGAGTGTCAATTAAGGTTAAAGCTGCAAAGATGTATCCTGTTTAACAAGACAAATAGCTGTACAATGAAACAGAAAACGTCATATATATATTGATCAAAATGAAAGCTGGCACTTAACAGCACATCCACCACTTTTATATTCACTAGCTCTGATGTGAACTGCGAGTCTGATTTTGCTGTTTTGTTAATGTTACCAGGAAATCAAGGGACTTCTTTATAGAAATAAACTGTAGATAATGCACCTTTGGAATAGTACATCGCTGAGATCTGAGTGAGGCCCGCACCGCGTTCCGGGTGCACAGGATCATAACTAACATAGTTACTTACCTCTGAGTTATTCTCGCATGAAATAATGCAGCCGACATTCATTTTGGCGAGTTCATTAGATTTTCTCCATACGGTGCCGAATCCATTACGGCATAACGTGATGCAGGCAGAGAAATGTTACCGACAATGAAATGCAGTTATGAATTCTGGCCTTCAGAGTAATAACCTATTTGAACGGGCGCCATTTAGCAGCACCGCCCCCCTTAGCATGTGATTTACTGGTCCCCCCCCCCCCAGTGCACGCCGGCCGGCCGCTGGTGAAGAAACCACACGGGAAACTGCGGGCCAAGGTGGAGACCGGGGAGGGCACCCTGCCCGTGCGCTGCAGTGCTGACACACAGACGTGGGACGGCGTGCTTCAGGGGGAGCAGCTCATCACCATGTCCTGCACAGACAAGATCTCCAGGTAGGCCTCCTGGGAGCCATGGCCCCAGGCCTGCAGCCGCCCCCCCCCCACCCACCGCGGCACCCTGGGGCCAAGGCCGCTGCCTGCTTAACCAAACCGCCAGGCGAGTGACAGAACAGGCTGAATTAGCGTCAGGTGCTATGGTTGTGATGAATGGGCCGTGTTAGGGTGCGTATGTGCGTGCGGCCGGCCTGCCAGGCCCAGCACTGCCTAATGAACTGAAAAACAGTCATAATGAAGAACAGCGGGCTCCTCTGCCTTTATCTGCTCCTGCAGGCGTGGTGAAAACAGCTGCTAACTAAACCGTTACCATCCCAAACTCAATCTTATATCACTTTTATTGTTATATACAGTAAGTCCTTTGCGGCCAGGAGCAGACGCTATATATAAAGGCAGCCGTGCCTTGCTGCGACAGAACAAAATAAATAAAATGTTTTGGGTGCTATTGTGACCTTACCTCTCTGTGTTGATTCAGATGTGTTTGTGTTGTACGCTTGGGGATCAGAGTGCATGTTTTGGCTTATGTCCATAGGCTGGGATTGAGTAGCCCCTGTTTGGACAGATTTCCCTAAATGGCAGAGAAACAGCTGATGTTTTATATATACTGGCATTATGCAGCATGTTGGTTTTACGGTTAAGGCTAAATGAAGGATTTTTGGGGATGTGGGCAGGTTAAAATAGGGCTGAATTTCATTCTGTCAGTTTAACATTAGGAAAGGACTTAGTGTGTCTTGGTGTGTGTGTGTGTGTTGGGGCGGGGGGCAGTTCCACTGGCACACACTGGGATCTGTGTAGACGTCGCTGTTGGATTCCACCAACCTGGGGTGACTGAGGACTCGTGGACAGTTTTGTTAAACCAGTATTGTGTGGGATGGGGGGTGGGGGGCAGACAGTCTCTGCCACCGACATTAATTTAACCAATTGGATCCAGTTGGCCGGGGCTGGAAACGCTCCGATTAAATCTAGCCAGGTCAGCGCCAGGGTGAAAGCAATTACATCACAAAAAAGAGAATAAAAAGAGAAGGGACAACCCCCCCCTACCCCCCTGGCCCCTATCCTGCTTTATATCCCTGTAAATCATACCAGTACCTCCACTGGAGTTGGTGGGTCGCGGGGGCGGCTAATCAAGGTCACGCTAAGGAGCAGAGTGAAAGCAGCTTGGCTCCTTGTCCCCATCGCTGGGCCCGTGTCAGCTGATCCCAGCATCCAGGCCCCCCCCTGCGGCTCTGCCTGTGGTCTCCCCCATCATGGCCGCCGCCGTGAAGTGGCAGCCCTGTCTGTTTTAGCAGACAGGAGCTTTATGGTAACGGCATCTGACGACAAGGTGCTCCTTAGATTGGTGCCGAGACGGAGCCAGCTGACCGGAGTAGATGTTTAATTAAACCGGCGGCCGCTTTAATTGAGGGCCAGAATGGATTTCACATGAGTATTATCCTTTATATTCCATTTGAGTTTTATGTAGATGAACACATTACTTTAATGGGCGCGTTTACGGAGCGGGAGAGGGCCGAGTATGAGGAGGAGATGAAGGCTGGCCCTCGCATCCTTACAGTCACCAGATGGCTGTCTTTTCTTGCATGAGATTAAAAGATGTTTCTAATTCACAGCACTGCATCCTGGGCAAATTAATATTGCAAGCTAAATCATTTCTGTTTTTGGGTGGCGGCTGGGAGGGGGGAAGAGTGCTTTATCTCTGAACAGATTGCTCCATAGGTAGTACAGGGGACTAGGTGTGAGTCACTGAGTGATTCTTGAAAGGAGATGTTTGTTCATTGACTGTTGCGAGACATGAGAATGTAATGACTCATTATTAATCATAAATAAAGATGTGAGTGGAGAAGAGGCGGCCGCAATAATTAGCAGTAATGATGAAGAAACATTAATTAAAAGGAGAACAATTGCGGTAAAAATCTGCAGCACAATGTGCGGCAGTGGTTGTGCTTTTCGGAGATTCGTTAACGGAAGCTGGTAGCAAAGATTCTGCTTGTTGTTCTGTCTTCCTGGAGAGAGGAGGAGGAGGAGGAGGAGGAAGATGCCCGGCCCATCGGCACATTATGCCTACTACCAGTTAATATGTTAATATGCGAGATTTTTACACACAACCCCGTTTAGGGCGGATTTGATTGGTTCATTTTACATTGATGTCATTAGGGGCCTAAAATTTAACCGCAAAACAGGACAAAGAAAATCTGCTCTGCTACAGTTTTCGAAATGCAAACCTTAAACATGAAAAAGATAAACTTGTAAATTACCGAAATCACTTAGCTTAAGTTCGTTTAAACAGTTTCCCCTGTTCAGAAATGGCCTTTGGGTAAGATCTGCTGCCGTTGATAATGATTCATTTAAGGTAAGTACCGTGTTGTTAATTGCAGGTTGCCCCCCCCCCAGTCCTTATGGCAAAAGCTAAGCATTACCACATGCGGTGTTCTGTGGGGGGGGGGGGGGGGGGGGGGGGGTGACTTACTGGGCTCTGTACATGACAGCTTCAAGTGCCATGGTATGTTATAATGATATCCCCCTGAGGGGGAGGTGGTGATGTCACTTTACCGCTACTCTTGTTTATAAAAATAAAATAAAAGGGGTGGTTTCTGGATGTTAACAAGCCCTGGGGCGAATGCCGCATGTCTGACGCCCTGCCCCCTTCCGCGCTCATCCTAACATGCACCCCCATCCTCCCGCAGGTGGAACGTTCTGGGCCTGCAGGGATCCCTCCTCACGCACTTTGTGGAGCCCATCTACCTGCACAGCCTGACGGTCGGCAGCCTCCGGCACCCGGGCCACTTCTCCCGGACGGTGGCGCGGCGCCTGGAGCACGTTGACACGCTCCCGCCGTCATACCGGCGCAACCAGCTCCTGCTCAGCGGTACGCCGACGCGCACGGCTGCGCCGCGCAACTCGCAAAAACTTGCCGCTGAAAGTTGAAAGGGCCCGGTTGTTTTGAGCCGAGGAGCACGGGCTTTCGCATCCCGATCCAACACCTAACGCGCCTCTGAGAGGCGCTCTGATACACTTCTCTCGATACACGGAAAAAAAACAATGAATTAAACATGAGCCCAATTATTCCAGCAAGAATGGCTTAAGGAAACCTTTAGAAATTCTCTTGTAGTTTGTAAAATACTCCATCTCAGAGTAAAAAAAATCGTAAGCTCCGTTACGATGTTTTCGCCTCGGTCGCCGGTCTCGTCTACACATCTTTGCGTTTGGTCTAAACGGCACCATCCTCTGCCCTGCGACAACAGAGGGAGTTTGTCACCATGGTTAAGAAGAAGAATCGGGGCTGGAGACATACTAACATGAACATTAACGACCCTGCACATATGCTTCGCTATCCGTGATGTTAGTTACGATTAAGGAACGTTCTGGAAATATGAGGTATGTTGAGCGAGGCTAACGACAGCAGACACTGATGGTACTAGTTGCAGTTTACTTTCATATTGTTGTCTTCCTGCCTGCTGGGGTGGGGGGGGGCATCCCCACATGGGGCAGCAGAGGGGCTGGTTTCTGCTCAGGCAAGCAGGATGGGTACGGATTTGCCATGTGACACACTCTACCATGGCCAGCGTCCTAGCATTAGGGGACTGATTCGCCACGGTTAACCAGTAATTGCTAAGTAATTTTTTCCACGTTCACACACAGTTCAGTTTATTGTTCCTCATGACCCTGTAGGTGTCCATCCAGCCATTCTCCACCTTATTCTCATTCTGCATATTTCTCTGTAATGTTCTGTCAGAGGCATGACACCAATTCAAGCCACGATGACAGTGATGGTGTTGATGATGATAATGACGATAGCTACAGGGACTGTACAAGCGTCAATCATTTTATCAGCTCTGGGCCATTTCATTATATTTAAGCAGCATTTTTTGGTATCCATGTGACCTTCGGTCTGCAGAATCATGCCGCTCGGCACGCTTTGAACAGAACTTGGGCTGATCGGCGATCTTTGTTCCTGGAGCCACCGCTGAGCTCCCACAACAAAGGTGCCGGCAGCGGTCGGCATCTTCCAAATCAATTCAATCACAGAGCTCATCAGCGGTATTCAGCATGCGACTTTGGGGCGGGCTGTCTGGCCCATTCATCACCCTGTGCAAATCAGGCCTTGACGGACCTCGGCACCGGCCTTTTTCGCCCGCGTCACGCTCTGCTGGGCCACCCGCATTGTCTCCACGGCAACAATAGGTGTGCAAGGGACTCCCATAATCACCTGCAGCTGCCCGTTCGATAAGACGATAACACAGATAAGACTGTGGATCAAGTCAAGTAGTGGAGAGCAGTCTATCATTAATATCATTAATATCGGTCGAATCTCAAATAACAGAGTGAAAATGAGCGATTATCTCAGTTTAAAGCTACTCCTTCTGGCAGAGTACCTTAGCGACGATATTCCGTATCCTTTCCGGAAAATTTGTCCTTCGAGGCATGTTGTAAGGCTCTGCTCACTGGAACGGTGATTGAAAAGCCCAGCCCATCCACGTGCCTCAGAGCCGTGTTTACCACAGACGGGGACCCCTGATGGACTGATCGGGACCTGCATGCTCAAGTGGGCGGAGCTCTCCATTGTGCCGTTCCTCCAGCTACAGACAAACAGACTCTTGGCAGCTTCCCTCGTTTATCTGTTCAGGTTGGACGTCTTCGGCTGGGAGCCCATCAAACTCCGCGCGATACTTGTGAAAATCTTGAAGGATTTTATTCTCTCACACAAATCTTTACAGATTCTCGAGGTCCATGACCTTTTTATACTGCAAACGCTAACTGTGCATTTAACTAGCGAGGGGGGACTTCAAAGTACGCAGTGTGTAGGGTTACTGCATGCAGTCAATAACAGACCAGCTCCCCCTAATGGAAACCAGATTCCAGCAGTCAGGTATTACAATACCTCCGTTTTAATTCAATTTTCACTTTTATGGCCAACATTAAAAGACTGATAAAGTGACTTGCGTCTAAGCAGCCGGCGATGTGAGACGGGCGTTTCAGTGCAAGCGTGTTCAGATACGTTAAGAGTTTAGGGTCAAGCTCACGGCACAAGATCAGCAGAAAGTGCATCGTTACCAGGGAAAGAAACACGATGAATAATCCACGCGGCACGCCAGAAGCTGTCGCTAAGGCCGTTGCTAAGCAGTGTTGTTTTAAACATCTGATTGAAAGGCCCGTATTACATGCAAGTGGGCAGATGTAGGAGCTCAATAGCACAGTGATTACATCAGACCTACATACCCCCCAAATGCAATTACAGTAAAGCCAAAATCGTTACTGGACTGAGAGGTAGACTGACATTACACTGTGAATGTCTGAAGAAAGACTGAATTGTTGCTGTTCAGTTTTTGTATGGAAACCAGTTGCAACGAGCAAACTAAACTCATAAAGCACATTCCAGAGTCACTCAGAACTGTGGTCAACAATCACCTGTAGATTCTCCACGGACCCGCAGATGGTGACTCATTCACCAAACTCTCAATTTCATTTTGGTTGCCTGAGCTCTGAGTTGAGGAAGGCGCAGCATCTTTTCAGACTCCTCCCACTCTCTGACTCCACCCCTTCCTGTCTGCCACAGGCCTCAGCCGCGATGACAGCCGTCAGCCGGGGAAGTCCCCCTGCTTCAGCGTGAACTGGACGGTGGGTGACGGCCAGCTGGAGGTGGTGAACGCCGCCACGGGCAAGAGGAAGGAGTCGGGGGCAGCGTCGCGGCTCTGCAAGCGTGGGCTCTTCGCGCGCTGGGCCAGGCTGCACCGGAAGGTGAGCCAGAGTGGGTGTGGGTCCTAGTCACTACTCCCATGGGACCCTGCTGGCGTTTACAAACTGGATGCGCTGCCATACCTCGCAGAGTTGTCCCACGCCAAACCGCGTCGAGACGAGCATCTGAGGCAATCCGCTCTCACTGCCCACGCACAGGAATCCCTCTGACACACCCAACCATCCTGAGAGCCGCCTGAAGGACCCTGCTCCATGGATTAGTCTATTAGCAAACAGAAAATCTAGCTTAAATTTCATCATGAAAGTATATCCCAAACATATCGCATATGGTTAAAGCGTAATGACTGCCAAATCATAATTATTTTGAAAAGCTCTCAAATGGCCTCCCCCAGAAACCCCCCCCCCCCTGCACTTGCAGTCACATGTGGGAACACACTGCATCATCTCAAAGAAGCCCCCCCATATCCTCATTTGCTGCTCTTTTTTTGCAACAAAGGAAAGGCACAAAAGCACAGAGAGTGTTAAATTGCTTGTGAAATTTAAATGGGAGATTACACAGCTGCTGAAGTCCCCCGTTTGTGCCGCCTCATTCGTTTTGTTTTGCTCCTCTCTTCACCCCCCCCCACAGCTGAGCATGCACACGACGAGCCATGGGGAGACGCCACTGGTGTACGCCGAGGCCAAGCTGGCCGCCCGATCCTACCAGGCTGCAAAGCAGCAGCTGTTTCGCTCACTGCGAGAAGCAGGACTGGGCACCTGGGTAAAAAAGCCACCTGAACTGGACCAGTTTGAACTGCCAGTCTGAAGACCAGAAGGGGGGAGGGGCCAGGGTGGGGTTGGGACGTGGTTCTTGGGAGAAGACGGGGAAATGACTAGGGTGTCCACTCATCAAGGAGAGTGACACACCTAGGGTCCATGTGGAGGAAATGAAAAGAGAATTACCAAAAACGAAGGTGATGTCGGTGGAGACGTGGGCGGGGATGTGGGCAGATAATTAGGCAGAGACTCCGTGGAGACATGGGCGGGGAGATGGAGACATGGATGGAGACGTGGGCGATGACAACTCAGGAGCCCAGGATACCTCGCCAGTGCCCCCAGCCTGCTGCTCCATGCAGGGTGGGGGCTGTCGCCCCAGAGGAGCTCTAACCTCTACCAGAGTGAAAGGCAGCAGTTATCGTGTCATCAGCCATTTCCAGCCTTTTATCTCCATGGCCACCCAGTTAAAGGCCCTGTCACAGTGACGTGTGTAAAGCAGGGCCACCGCACCCTCGCCATCCCTCTGTCTGTCTGCCCATCCCTGCAGAAACTCTGAGACCAGGAGCAGGATTTGACTTTGCAAAAACACATGAAATCTTTTTTGCAAAAACACATGAAATCTTTTTTGCAAAAACACATGAAATCGGGGGGGGAGACACGGCACAGAACGTAAACCAGGGGGCAGACCCCCCCACCCCTGTTTCCACACTCGCGACCTCCATTTCACACGTAGGCAAAATGCTGTCAACAAACTGCCCCCCTAACTGACAGGAGGGTGTGACTCGTTGGCATGGAAACAACTGGCGAGGCAGCTAAGAAAGGCCCCCCATTCATTCGGCATCGGTCGGGGTCTCTGGGTCTATCGCTCTGACCCTGCCCACGCTGGAAAACAACACCCCCCCCAGCCACTGTCTCCCTTTGGGATTTTTAGATCGAAATCAGCAGACAGGGCACGTTCGACTTTCCCATTTTTGCACCATCTGTCTCTTACGTGTGAAACTATTAGCTATTACAGATTATCAGGACCATTTGTTTTGCTACATGTAAACATTTATTTTTTCATAGGAGTGTATCAGGAGTACATCACGACATACATTAAAAGCCACCGCCCCCTAGTGGCCTCATGCTGTTACCCTCCCTGCTCTGACTGTGTCAGATAGGCATTGTTCTCACATTCACTATTTGCCGGTGCTATTCGCTCTGACATGGCACATGAATCATTCCGTGTCCCTGCTGAGACGGTACGGCGGGGGTGCCAGAAGACGTCACCCATAGCCCTGCGGACAGAACACACCAAAAACACACAGAGACTTATCTTAAACGTTACCCCAGTTTAAATGAAAGTGGCCTGACATCAACCTTTAAAAAATAATGATGATTTCAGGTCCCTCACCTAGTGATGCATTGCTGGGGGTTGACATATAAATGTAGAACTACACCGACCAAAATAAAGCAAGTTATATCAAAAGTTATATAAAAAAAATCCCCTTGTGTTCTGATAAAGGACTTTTATTTTGTGTACAATGAGATCTGAATTGTCAGTCTCAACCTACACGGCTGTGACACAGGACACGGGTTCCAGGTTCTGATGTATGCAAAGGGATTCTGCGTCCACTGCAAAGGTTTCAATTACCAGCGAAGCACTTGGCACCATCCTGGCGACAGCTACCTGAGCGTGATACTCATCAATCCACCCGACCATTTCCTAAATACGACAATGGTTACGTCTCACGGTCCGAAAGCAGAGCCCTTACGTGTGTACAGAGAGCCAAAGCGACTGCCTGTCTGAATGGCAATATTCACATCAATGGGTGTAAATCTGTAATATTTGTAAAAAAAAAAAAAAGTAGGGAGTCATTAGAGTATCACAGAATTAAAGATGTAAATTTAGATGATGAGCATATGCTGCTAGTCTGTAAATTGCACTTAAGCTAACTTATAAGTGAATGTTACAGTTTCAGTAAATAAAAAAATGGAAAATCTGAACCACAGCTTTTTTTTGGCCAACAGTAAGAAGACGCTGTCCAGGTACGTTAAGGCTAGTCTGACGTATGTGTTTTACAGGAGCACACCACTAGCTATGCGTCTCGGTTTACTAAAATTGATAGGTTTTATAGAAAGTGCCCGGGATTGAACTTGTCCTGAATTGACCTGGCAAAACATCCAGCAGGGCAAAGGAAAAAAAATCAGGAGTGTTTTAACTAAATAAAGAATATCAATAAAAGGCATAAAACATATTCATTAACAAATCTGTTCTGAACTGCTTTTTACCATTTACACCGGTGGCAAAACGGAATATTGTAAACTCATGAGATCCCATAACAAAATTTACCTCTGAAATATCTTGTCGTAAAACCAGCCCCCGAAAGCATTTTAATAATAAAGCATAATAAAAATGCAGAATTGTAAATAATTTGTTGCACAGGCACTGAATGGCAGACCCACTCTGTTAGTGCTACCACGTGGAGGGAATCACCTGACCACCTCGTGCCGCATTGCATTATGGGATAGCGGTCCATTAGAAACAGTTCCTTTTACAGTACAGTACACCTTGTTATGAATCGTTGTGCTACAGAATGAAACTTAAGTCTTTAAAATATATTTTCCAGAAGCATTCATTAGGACACATAATGGGGACGAAGTGATTCATTAGCTGTCACATTGTTTTTGACAAAAAACCACGGCCATTCATCTATGTACTAAGTTCTCTGATCACAAAATGATGGAACATCTCAAGAGCTTCGGTCAAGCGAAAATTAAATCCTGACATATTTTAGATATGGAGTGCAGTCCTTCCATCATAATGGGTATATTTATTGCCTGACGTACTTTATTCATCATCCGGCTTACTGTGGTAAGGCCTCGGCCTGCCGGTCTGCTCTGCACCGCCCTGCGTGTCCGTCACGTTACATCAGCCCGCAGCAGATCCTGACTCCCCAACGGTATAACGGTAGTGTTTTTGGAGAATACAAAGTGCCGGGGGCTAATTTTGCTGGGGGGGGAACCTTTCTTCTCGTGCCTCCTGCTCCAGCTGGCGGCAGGATGGCGGCTGTCCGCACCAATCCGCTTACATGGTAATCCCGCCTTGGCTCTCCCGGGACTGTCGAGTGCCGTCTGACTTCAATTAGCTAACTTTCAGGTTTATCCACTTCCTCCGTGCGGATGCGCCGTTCGACTCGCTCTCCGGAGAGCCGCGTCGGAGCAGAGCTGCCCGCTCTGACACCCCACCGAGAAACGAGAGCGCCCTCGAGTCCCATCATTCCCAGGGGGGCTCGCAGCGCTAATCTGTGACAGAACAGAGAAAAGCAGCAGGCATTATGGGAGCTGGAGGGGCCGTCGGACCTGAACGTGTCGTCTGTGACATAACCCGGTTTGCAGGCCGCTCGCGAAGGCCCAGCCCGCCATCACAGGGCTGCACACGGCTGTATAAACAAACAGGGAGCTCAGATGCTTCTAGAAGTATGATAGTAATAATAATAATAATTATTATTATTATTATTATTACTATAATAATATCAATAATATAATAAAATAATAATTATTATTTGAATGAGCCACGCTTACCTGGCGAAGAACGTTTCTATAGAAATAAACTTTTGTTGGCTTACTTTGGCAATCATATTTTGTTTAAACTGCTCGATTCAAAAGAAACGGGAGTCACGTGACTATCCTCTCCGCCACTGTGGATGAATCCTCCCCCTTCGTCCCCAAAGAAGGAAATACATTTGGAAATGTTATCTTTTCAGTGCTGAGACGGGTGTCACACACGCTAGCTCCAGAATTCACCACCCTGTAAAATAGACGCCCCGTTCCGCGGCGACTCCCCCCCCCGAAGGCAGGTGTCTGCACTACAATAAACATGGTAATTGGCAATTTCAGCAGCTGTCCAGGCACAATCGTGAGCATCCAGCTGAAATCTCACCGACCCCAGTGTCAGATAAGCTCTTTCTGAAGCTGAGAAGACTTTCCTACATATTTTTTCATTATTTAAAATAGGCCCTTTTTCAGGACATGCAGTTGTACGGCGCTCACAGTCGGTCCGGTTCGGTCCATTCCGACCCGGGAAGGAGCAGTCCTGTTTCCGTGCTGATGCAGACGTTCCAGGCTCATGCACCCTTTTTACACATGCGAATCGAGCTCAATATAATGACACTGACGTATAGCACACATATGCGTCAAGGCGCTATATTTATATAGCGCACCTGAGTTTATTAGGCCTGGCAGTCCTGCTACAGGAAGCTGGCAGCCCTCGCACGCACCCTGCCTGAGCGCGGCATTAAGGAGCTAATCAATTTTCCACACTCGCATAAACATAGTTTCTTTCGAATTAAACTACGTATCCGTCTTTCTGTGCACTTTCGTTCAGCGCGCCGCAGCAAGCACCGGCCACTCCTGATTATCATCACGTGGTTCGCGTGGGGGGGTCCGTCACGGCGGACTTCATCTGTGTCTGGGGTGGGGGCGGCTGTCTTTCACACTAAAATGCTTAGTGAACCAGGCAAAACTATTATTGGCGATATAAAATGTTCAGTTTTTATTGGTTAATAATGCGCATATAAAATGGATTCATTTAAAACTAAACCAATTTTATCTTTCATGTATTTAAAAAAAAAATTATTCGTTTACTTTTAGTCTCCTCAATTATGTCTAATGAGAAATCTGTTCCTTACCAAAAAAGACCATTTAAAATATTTAACAGCTCACTTCTTAGGATTTTATGATAAAAATTAAAAACACATTGTTGAACAATAACAAGAACTGCCATTCGGCCTTTTTAGGTGGTTAATTTCCTGTTATTTCCCATTAGCGCCGTTCGGTCGATCTCGGAATATGAAAGGACTCCGATCGCTTGGTAATTATCGCACAGCGATAACTCACTCGCATGTTTTTACAAGGATTGCAACGGCATAGCTTCTGACCAGGTGAGGCTATAGACACAGAAGCAGGAAAGGCGACACATAATTAGCGTATGGGCTTCGCAGAGCCGTAGGCGTGAGAGAAAACTCGGGGACAAGCGAATGAAATGAAACACTTTATTTCGCTGGAGCGTTTGTGCTTTTTATGGAGGCGGGCACAGCGCGCGGTGTCACGGGCAAGGAAACAACCCGCAGCGTCGCTCAATCCCATCGGCTCCGTGGCTCCTCCAGTCCCACGCTTCCGCGGTTTAAACTGTAATGTTGTTTTTCTCATCCTTGTGTCCCTCCAGTCTGTCATTCTGTGATCTCAGCACGACTCGGAAAGTCGTTCCAAAGTCCATGTTTAATATCAAGCAAAGCAGAAGATGCAATTCGATAAAACAAACAAACAAAAAAAAAAACAAGAAAAATACATTTAAAAATACTTTGAAGTGTTTGAATTTTAAATATTGGCACGAAAACCCCGCTGATGCACCCAAATCCACACATATATAATTATTACAGTATAAGAATGTGTTTTACACAAACCAAAGCTTAACACTGTAATTGACCAATCAGGCTAGCGAGAGAAAAGTCAGAAATACTTAAGACCTTCCACGAAAGGCAGTTCAAACTCATTAAAAGCCATATGACCCTTTTTAACATGTGATGAAAGTATTAAGGGGGAAAATAGTTTAGAACTACACAAAATCAGCTATAACAAAGAGCATGTTGGTATTCTGTTAGAATGAACCAATCTGAATTGGGTCACAAAAACACAGCCCCCCATCTGGTCCTAATTGCTTAATTGAAGATCTTTCTTGGATGCTTCTGGATGGAGACAATTCAGCCAAGCTGAAACAGAAGCACACTCTGTCCCCCGAATCTGGACTTATACACAAAGGCGTTGGACACTGACACATTCAAAACTGCCCAACAGACACAGCTGTGTTAAAAAGGCTCAATTAAACGTCACACGTTACATTTTTAACAATGTTTTTATATAGCAAAGGTTAAAGTGGTAGTTCGGTCAAGTATATTGCAGACAGTCTAAAATCTCCTAGGACATTACACATTTAGGATTTTTTTCACTGGGTGTGGCAGCTTTTTGACTGAAGGCTCAACAAAGGACACATTATCCAGTATGAAAATCAAGAAGCCAGCTGATTTTGTCAGCTGAAATTTCAAATGAAAACCAAAAGCCTGTCTCGCAGGTGCCCCCTACTGGGGTGGAGGACTACTCTGGCAGCGTGACTTTGCACCACCGATATGCTAAACTGTCATATTCCCACAGTCTGCAGGCAGACATTTGTTATGAGAGTTTATTGGCACGCCCTATTTTTGTGAAACTAATTTAGGGCTGTTTCAGTGAAAGTTGCACTAGTAACATGATGGATTTACATCAAACATCAAGTTTCTTCTAGATTCCAGACTCAGAAGACATTTGACAGTGTTTTGAATATAATAAACCAATTTACATTGAGTCATAAGGAAGATTAAAACAAATAACAGCCATGTGACTGTAAAAACTAGCTTAATCCATACAAATTTAAAATACTTACCCATACCACCCCAACGTAAAAATCCCGACAGAAGGATCTGCTCCACAACCTAACAGAAGGGCACTGAAATTTTCAAAACATCGTCTGAGGATAATTTACAGTTTATGCAAATCCTACATCTACAGTTACCAACTAAGGTTTGGCATGAACGTCACAGGTGTGTAAAAAGTATTAATGTACAAATTCCACAGTGCAGCTAGACGTAATAATGAACCAACCTTGGAATACACTAAATGTAACAGCGGACGCTTGAAAAGGTATACGTCACCCAAATCAGATAAGACTGTTATAGCTGCACTACAAATTCGCAGAGCGGAAATCGAGGCTGAATGTTGCCCTCCAGCGTTGGGTATGACATTCCCATGGCTGCAAGCCTGGTATAGGTGGTATATCGGAGTCAACGAGTTTCTGAAAATGCCATCCATCCGCATCACGGAGATCGGTCTTTTTTTTGTGTCTGTTTGGCTCCATCGTCACCAGATCGTCGCTAATCTTTTTCAAGCAGAGTTCGAGCATAAATCTAGAGAGCTAGCCAAGCACAAAACGTCATGTGCGTCTGGGTGCGAGCTGGTCGAAAAGCCGTCTTGACCACTGACAGACACACATATACACTCTGCAGACACGCAACACACGCCAACCCCCTTGTCCTTGGGGGTGGTTTCACATTATCTATAGTGTGTGTAATTGGAACTTGGGGGTCTTGAGGATGTGTGCGTGTTGGACATGGGTGGGGGGGGAAACATGGCGGCAGGGCAGCAGTCGTCATGATGGGAGGCGGCTCACTTCTCCTGCAGCAGTGCGGGGATGTTGATGTTCCAGCCGATTGCTTGCCGGTCAAAGCCGCAGGTGAACAGGTTGCAGTAGGGGTTGTCCTCGCTCCAAGCGGAGCAGCACACCATCCGACGGTGGCCCTGCGGGGACACAAAGCATGCGGCCATCCCAGACCACAAATCAGGGAATCTTCCCCCCAGAAACTTTACTTAAGTCTCAGTACTCAAAAGTCTATGAAACTCATTTCCTGCACAAGACCATGTGGTAAGAATGAAACATTTCTCCACAAACTTGCTGTAGAAACGGTTAAATGTGGAAACAGTTACAGAGAAATGAGAGCCGTTGGAGTGTTTTTTAAAGAACTAAAAGCTTGTGCTCCCTCTTGCATTGCTAGCTTCATGCGGCGCTGCTAATTAACCCATCTGCACTTAGTGTGCAGCTGACGCTTGATTCTGACTCGCAGTCACGCACACGGACCGCATCCAGCACCCAAGCGCGGTGCCTTCCTGCCGCCCCATCGCTAACGGGGCACCGACTTCACCAAATCCCGGTCCCTGCTGAGCTCAGCGTGGGGGACAGCATCAAGGCAGAGAGGGAGCAAATCCCCTCCTGCCCCTAAACCCTGCAACTGCTAAAGTCTGATATCGGGGCACCACACAGGACGCAGAAGGCCTCCATTCACAGTGTGAGGGCTTTCATACTTACCCTTAAAGGAATCGCCACTCCTCATTTATTTTTAGCCTGTTTGAGTACCTGCTAGCTTTAGCGTTTCCAGCCTAGGCACTGGTTTTTACCATTCTGCACCCTACTCACTGTCTGTGACCCAGCCCAAGTCCAACGGGACCCACAAAATATCAGGTTTAGGGCCAGGTATGGGTCACGTTTTAATGTTGGGCTTGGGTCGGTTTTTTGTGAGTATTTTTTCTTTCCTTTTTATTGCTAGTACTGTACGGGCCAGGTTGGTTCAGGTTCCAGTAGGGGCCAGGTTGGTTCAGGTTCCAGTAGGGGCCAGGTTGGGTTCAGGTTCCAGTAGAGGCCAGGTTGGGTTCAGGTTCCAGTAGGGGCCAGGCTCAGGTTTTTTGTAGACCCATTCAGGACCCTATTGTTTATACCACCTGCAATTGTCTGATGCTGCTTTGCAATAAGTAGGCAGGTTTGATCCGAGTCACAGAAAAAGGTCTGGGCAGAGATACAAGTCATGAGCCCGAGCCTCACCTGTCACCTATAGTCCCGCCCCCAATTCCCATCTCTCATTCACAGCACCACCCATCAGTCCCACAAGACGATCTGGCTGCAGAACACTGGGCAACCTCCACTGTCAGCCAGAAATCACATGACCACTTGGGCCGGACGTGACCTTACGCAAACTCCAGGAAGCAGAGGCGGTACCTCCACCAGGAGTCGCTCTTAAAATACACCCAACCCAAATGCCCCACCCCTCATCCATGGCCCCACCCCTCATCCATGGCCCC